AACATTACGGGGGAGGGAGGGTGCAGAAAGTCAAGGTTCCCGTGCTATGCAAAGAACATTTGAGTACACCATTACTGAAGTTTAGCGATAGGAAAGTCCACCAAACACTTCTGCTTTCACATAAGCGTGCAGCCAGCAATAAGATAGGAACAGCAAATCCAATCACTGTGATATTTAAAATATGCACAGTTCTAATTCTATCTCGATGATCCTAGTATTTTTCTAGCTGTATCTTTATATCTCATACTGTTATTTATCAGTTTTGTTCCCCTGACCTTCAAGTGTTTTTATATGGGAATAAAATGTATTGAAGACACTTAGTATGCAGTTGACAAAGAGGAATTTGGTGTAATTATGATCAGTGATTATTTTTATACTGTAAGTGCCAAAGCTTTACTACTGTGGAAAAGAAAAAAAACAACTCTTTTAATAAAAAGATTTACAAACCAGACATGTAGTTTAAGTGATTCTCTTTGCTACCGTGGAATCTAGGATGAAGATTATTATTCTGAGCTGGAGTAACATTGCCTTGAAAGAAGATGGAACAAACACCCCAATGAAGCGTCGAGTAAACCTCAAGAGAATGTTTGTAGAGCAGTTTAAGTAGACTTCCAGCTGCACCCCCTGCCCCAATAGGGCACAGAGATGCTGAGTATGTATGGCACGCTGCGAGAGGCAGGGGCTTTGCTTTGCGGGGAATAGGTGGAGGAGAGAAATGGGGGAGGGAAAGGAAAACACATTCCCTGCTTTGGCTGTGAAGTGAGGTAGAGATGGTTCTCAATCCAGTCAGGCACTTAAAAATACCTAGAGTCAAGTATGCCGTCAGGGTTGGCGTTGGCAGAATGAGAGAGGCCATCCATGCCTTCCAACCTTAACTGTACTTGGACCCAGCGGCTCCCCCACAGGTCTAAGCGGATGCTGGGTCTCAGAGCCTGCTCCAGGCCTTGTCCCTGGGGCAGACCACAGCTCAGCTCTCCCTGCAACCGAGGATAGCTCACCTGCGGGGTTCCCAGAGGGGCTCTCACACCCTCCTCTCAACTCTCAGCTTGTCCATCTCTGTTTACAACATGGTAAATTCCAGTAACAAAATCCAGAATTGAGGTGTTTTAGGTACCAGTGAACACACCCTCAGCACTGCCGCCGCAGCATCAATGAAAACCTTCCCTTCCCTCAGAAAAACAGAGGGGGACAAGCGCAGACTGCTTTCAAGTCTACTCTGCTTCTGCCTTGTGAGGTGGGGAGGATGGTAAAGGAAATTCTCCTCAAAACCTCTTTTAAAACAAAGCCAGTCTTGTTTACAATGGACAAAGTTAGCACTAAGTGCCTTTAGCTTGCGCTGCCAATGCTGCAAAAGCCTGGAGAGCATTTGCAAGTGCAGAACGGGAAAGGTTCTGTCCTGATCTCTTGGGCTGCATTCCTCTCTTGGCTACAAACACTGTATTACTGAAGTCAATGGCTTTCTCTGGATTAAATAAAGCATGGCATGAAAATAGAATCTGGCTCCTTGATGTGAGAAACACACCCGGCAGTTGTTTGCACAGACTGCTATCTATAGAGCAACCAAAACATTTGCAAATAGTAAAATGATTGCAGCAGAAGTCAGTTCTCTCCCACAAATGCTCAAGCCAAATGAGTATCTCATATAAATGAGAACTAAAAATGGCATAGACCGAGACACAGAAGAATACTTCCCTGATAAACTAGGGTTTGGTTCCTCTGTCCTTCCCAAAGGGGGCTTATGTATTGGTTTCCAGCAGTTGCAAAGACCCCTATGCAGTCACTTTGCTGTGAAGTCATCCACTGCACAGCCAGGCAGGAATCGCCTAGCTGCACAGGAGTCACAGTCCATCTGATCTCCTCACTCTGCCATCATCAGTGGCAGCAGCACCTCCTCCTCCCCACAGTGAGCATTATGGGACCAAATGCTTTAAACAGTGCATTTGCCTAAGCTCTCTGCCGGGTTTTGTCCGTGCCTTAAAGCATGAGGGTTTGCATTGCTGATTTCTGTTTAACGTTCACTAGTGCAATGCTGGCTATGTTGTCAGCCAGCTAAAGCTTTTCTTTTCAGTTATATTTGAAAACCATTACCAGAGCACAGCAGAGAGGCAGCAGACACTTGTGAGATCCAAAGTATCAGCCACACATCTTTCCTTTTAGAAACAAACTACAGGAACCAAGGTTTTTAAAGGTTCCCATGCCTTACCCAGGCCATAGCAACAGAACAGCAGCTGGACCTTAAAACACAGCCTCAATTTATATCCACGGTCCACTTCAGCACTAAGATCAACTCAAGTTACGTCCGCAGCAGGGGCAGCTGCCCGGGTGAAGATAAAGAGAGCATCTGTCCTTGTTAGGGAGCTTTCAAACACCCTGGGCTCCCCAACAAGGTGCTCACGGCTACGCCAAGCCCAGTGCTGTTGAAGCCCTGGTCTATTCTTTTCCAGAAGAAGAGGTGCATCTCCACATGTTTTGTCTTCTCAGCTACTGCGGAGCCCTGGTTGGAGCACAGGACCAACCAGAGTCAGGGCTGTTCCAGAGAGGCTGAAGGAAAAGAAAAAACCAATCCTCTGCTATTGACAGCAGAGCCTGAGAACGATTCTTCCCCGCTCCCTGCTTACTTCCACACTTTTGGGAGCTGTTCTGGCAGCACGGGACCTGCCAGGGGCAAGGTGCCATGCGGTGCCAGTGCCAGACAGGCTGTCAGCAGCCTGCTCTTCAGAAAACATCAACTGAGGGGAGCAGATGTAGCCCCTCATGAGAAGAGACATGCTCCTTCCCACGTGAAACTGAAATTAAGCAGAGCTAGGTGGTTTGCTTTTAGTCATTGTAAATCTCATTCACCTAGCAGCTCAACATACCTCATAAAGAACCCTCACAGACCAACACAGCCCTTTTTAATGAAGAGCCGCCTATCTGGCCTGCTGCACTGGGGGAAGGTGCACAGCTCCTAAGCCCAGTTGACAGCAGGGACAGGATCCCCCTTTAGGGCACCCCTCAGCAGCCTAAAACCAGCAGCTCCTGACCTGACCTCAGAGCAGCAGCTGGAGCCATTGCTTTCTGCAGTGCTACATGGACACCCGTGGCTCTGTGCCCAAAACAGGAGCCAGTCAAGTGCTGCTGCCACTTCCCTTCGAGAAGGCTTCAGGCTAGTTGAAGTTGTCACCACAACCGCGGTGACAAGCCACCCCCGAGGACATTGCTATGAGGACACCTCACACCTGGAACTAGACCAGAGCTTTTCATCAGCCTTTAGTCAGATGAGCGAGGCAAGATAGAGTTAAGGACACTTTGCCTGGAACATCGGACACTGAGGTGCAGGTTCTCCAATTGTCTGACAGCAGAGAGGCCTTGAGTGAGAGATAGAGAGAGGCCTTGGGTGAGAGATACCATCTTAGTCAGGTATTTACTACACCACATACAGAAACCTCACCTGGAAGATCAGTACTCATTAACTTCCATCAGATTAACCAGTGCCCCAAGGACAGCAAACAAAGGGTCAATAATAAACAGCAATAGAGAGGAACAGGAGCAGCCAGATGCTTATTACCGGTCTCCCTTTTAGTTGATGCTTTAGAAAATGCAGGTGAAGAATGGGCTCACAGATTCCCAAGATAACCTCACAGCATAGTATGTACCAGCTGCTCAGAACAGCACAACACAAGAGACATGTAAGGAGGAGAAGAATAGTGGAAGAAAGAGTCCAAAAACCCAACTTTTAAAGTACAAACTAATAAAACCAGGAAAGACTCCAAATACTGATACTCCATGGGAAGCAATGGCACAGAAAGCAGTCAGGAGCCAGGGCTGGGGTTAGCACAGCCAACAGGTGAGCCACTAAGCAATGCACCACTTCTGTTGTGGACTACTGTCTTAATCTGGGCCCAAAAAGTAGAATCCTCTCTACTCCATTTTGCCTAATCCAGCCACTTGGAAATAATCCACGGTGAGGAGACAACTCTTTCAGGCCAGAACAAGGGCAGCACTGGGCTCACAGAATTCCTGGGCAGTGGCCAGGGCCCAAGACACAAGGGAACAAGGGGAACACACGTGTATGTGGATGGAATTAATGCATTATGGTAAAAGCAGCACATGGATTGTGATCTCTTAAACAGCTCATATCCCTCGGGAGGTATCTTTGCCTTGCTCAGCTCAAACCAACCTGGATCAAAAGGGTAGTCAGGTAAAATAAAGGATATGCCTTCAGTCACAGCAAGCCAGTAGCAGAGCCAGGAAGACAGCCTGAATTTCTCCTCTTCCAGGTCTGTCTCTTGCTATTGCTTGAGCAAGGGGAACACATGCAGACTTCCTGCTCTGCACCAGCTGAGATCAGCACCACGACAGAAGTGTTTATAGCAAAACTGTGGACCATTCCTTGCCAAAGCTGAACAGATTTTATAAAATGGAACAACAACAACAAAAATCTCTTTGAAATGGTCACAGTGATTGCCAGCAAAAAACGTGCCTGGGCTGGTCCTTGGTTCATCTCACTGTGCTCCAGATTTTCTAATCAGAGTTCAAATCTGCTTAATGCAAATTGCACACAATGGCAAAGGGAAGTGGCTTCACGCAAGATGCTTCCCAGATGCCTGCCTACGAACTCTGAATTGCACTCCTGGTATGAGAGCAAGCATCTCAGACTCTACCTCAGAGAAAGCAAGCTGACCCTGCCTCTCAGCCCAAAGCACCCCTCTCCTCACCGGAGGATAATGGATTAGAAGCATCTGGAAAAAACTACCTGCTGACTCCAAGGAAAAAAACCAAAGCTGTTCAGTTCAGTTTACAATACAAATTTTTATCAGTTCATTAAGAAATTGGGCATAAGCCAGGCATTCATACCACTCCATAGGCCTTTTCATGAATTAGTAAAGTCTGGACCATAAAATTTACCTCAAGAATAAACCTTTTTCCTGAAGACACAGTATTTGGATGACACAGACTACAGACTCCCCATAGCTAAGAACCGTATGTTTATTTGCCAAAGAGATTTATTTTCTACATTGGAGGCCAACCTCTTGCACCTTCATTATCTGCTAACACAGGGAAAGCTCTCATTTACAGATCCTCCAAACGTTCGCTAAGCACAGACTGCAGGTGCCTCCCAATTAAGCTGGTGATATTCCAGTCACTGCTGCTGCTGAGACTGCGACCGAACGGTAAACTCAGTGATGAAACAGCCGGAGATTGGTGTGAATGAGGGTTATCCCAAGCTCATTGCAGGCTTCGATCACAACCTCGTCAGCAGCTGAGCCAGCCGGGGCAGCGATGAACTGTACTCCACTCTGAATAGAGACAGAGAAGTGGAAGGATTAGAGGACAGAAACCACAAATACTCTTGAAACGGAGCTGGCAGCCCCAGTCCTTCATCTGCATCCCCCTACATGGAGCATTGTACAAACAAAGGCTTCCATTGCCCAAAGCCATTCACTGAGGAATTCCCCATGGGAGCAGCCAGTTCTCTCCACAGCTCAGAAGTAAAATGGTTCCTCTGGAAGCAACAGGCCTTGTCTTGACAGCCTTAAACAGTTTAATAAACTTTAACCCTCTATTCATCCCCAATCAACAACCTGAGCCATGGCTGGATAATTACTATCCATGTGAGACCAGTAACCACAAGAAATATCCTTCTACCCAGCCGTGCAGAGCAGATGCTTCCCAGCGGTCTGCACACAACTCCAACAAAAAGCCCAGGCTGCGCAGACGTTTCCTTGGTGCCACCCTGACATCCTGGCCCTGCCGTGGCCTTACCCGTTTAGCTCTGTCCACATTGTCCCTAAAAGGGAAGAACGCATCAGAGCTGAGCGAGACGGCAGTCAGCTTGGCAACCCACTGCTTCTTCTCTGCTTCCGTTAACTGCGCGGGCACCTCTTCAAACATCGCCTGCCATTTCACCAGGTCTTCATCCTGCCAGAACAGAAAGAGCCAGCTCAGCCCCGAAGCAGCATGCAAGGGTGAGTGATGATGGCATCCCCCTGACACCCAGCTCAGCTCTGCTTCCTTCCCCCACGGCTCTGCTGCTGGGAACTTCAGACCAGGGATTTTCAAATCTCAAGTGGTGGTGGGAACACAATACCACCACCAGCTCTTTTTGCATCCTTTTAACATCTTCACTTCTCCCTCCTCAGCCCAGGGCTTGAGGGATTCCTTCCCTGCCCCCACCCCCGCCTTTAGTTCCTAGATGCTCTGCTTGGCCTGCCTGCAGTGTGCTGCTCTATGTAAATGCCAGCACATGCAAACAGGGTCTGGTAGATGACTTAACACAAGACAAACAGCAGCTTGGTTTATGATTCACCTTCCGAAACACCAACTGCTCCAGTTCCTACCTCCTTAAACAAGCAACTGCTCACAGAGATGATTCACGAAGTCCCCAACCCAGCTCTTGGCTTTTGCTACTTAAAAAGGACATACTATTTTCTTGTCTCACCACTGCTCGTGACAGGAAGGTCAGAGGGATTCTAAGAAGCCAAAACGCCACAGGAGCAAGCAGCACCAGCACCGTGTGAGAAGGGAAGGACAGCTGTCCTGACAGGGCAGCAAGAGCTGTAACACTCCCTGTAGCTTTAGCCCTCCCTTACTGCTGGGGGACCTACCAGGCAAAACCAAGCTGCACACCAACACGCAGGGCAAGTTCTTCCAGCACTTGGGGCAGAGGATGCAGCACCAGAGGGACGAATCAGGACACTTTGCCACTGGGCCTTGAAGTGACCTTGGGGCTGTCATCATCCTGGTCCCTGGCCACCTGATCCCCCAGCTCCTTGGAATCATCTGATCCTAGGCACAAAACTTGAGCCAGGCTTAGGTACCATGTGAAAAACAAATCCTGCAAATGCACCCATCACCTCTGGCTCTGACAGTTTGACAGCCAGCACAGAGGCTTCTTGTAGATAATATCTGTGGACATTTCAAGCCATGGGCAAAGCACCCAAACTCTGGTATCTGTAGCTCCCTGTTGGCTAGCTACAGATCTTCAGAGGCACTGAGGGAATTTGGTGACTCATGTGGAGTTAAAGGTGGCTGGCATCTGTTGTCCTAAAAGAGATCACTACTTTATAAAGGCTGACCAGTTCCAAAAGTGGTAACCAACCAAACTCCCTCTTGCCTTAAGTCCTTACAAATTTAACGCTTTGCCGTTTGTAAGGACTTGCCCGAGTCCTTACAGAATCACAGAATCTCAGGAGTTGGAAGGGACCTCGAAAGCTCATCCAGTCCAACCCCTGCCAGAGCAGGATCACCAGACCAGGTCACACAGGAACACGGCCAGGTGGGTTTTGAATGTCTGCAGAGAAGGAGACTCCACAACCTCTCTGGGCAGCCTGGTCCCTAACGTTCTGTGATTCTGTGAAATAGTACAGGCATCCTTTTATGTCAAAGGAAACAGTGTGACCAACTCTGAAATGAGCTGTGAAAGGACATGGTCTTTCTGGGGCTGGAGGAAAGACTGAGGTAGAGAAGAAAAGCCCCAGGTATCAGGATGCCTTGCCAGGTGCTAGCACCCACAGCTGATATTTCAAGCAGTAGCTTCAGCTTTGTTTCGCAGAAGCTGGACTCTCCAGGGAAACCTCTCAGCCAGCCCTTACCTCACCAATGGTCCCAGTGACGTACTGATCAATGGCATTGGAGATCTCTGCTCTCTTCACACCCGCTTTGAACTTCATGGAGAGCACACGTGGGTGGTGCCGGAGCCACCAGTTGTTTGCCTTGTCACCAGCCAGACGCGTGCAGTGGATGCGGGACTGCTGGCCAGCTCCAATACCGATGACCTGAAGCACACAGATGAAAAGCACAATCACACCTTGCCACACAGAGATCGCAAGCACAGCTTAGTTCCAGCCAAGCAATTAGGAAAGGCCTCCCACAAATTAACTGCAGAGAAAGAGCGCCGGTAATTAGCAAGGAAAACTTTGCAAATACCTGCATCCCCAGTCCCGTACAGTGGTTACAGGGACAGCTCTCTGCACTGCTAACGTCCTCAGCTCCGCTGGGCTGACTGTCACTCTGAAGACAGTACATTCTTTTATCCTTCTCAGTAACATAGCCTCAGCCCTCAAACTGTTAACTGCAGGATAGCGAGACAATTACAGCTTTTGTTTAAGGCAAAACAAAGTCCTGTTGGTTGTAGAAACCAACGTGGCTGCTAAGAGGTGGCAGGCTGCCTACCTGTTCTTGGACAGGGCACTTGGGCTAGAGCATTACACCCTGAGCCCAGGTCACCCAAACACCATAATCTTTCCTGGTGGGCCAGGCATACACAGCTTGAACAGATCAGCTGTGATGTGTGGTGAATTACAGGGCAGTTTGTCTGTCAAGGCTGATAAGAAAGCAAATCCACTGCTCAATCAAGAAGGCTGGCCAGTAGGACCATTACACTGCATGAATTATCGAGGCCCTGGAGCTACCAACACGTTTCCTACTCTGCCAGAGTCCAGGGTTTTAAAAATAGCTGCTGCTAAACTTATTTAATAGCACTTGTGCTTGATATCAAACAGACCACCTGCTTCCGGAAGCAAAATCCGAAAGGCGATACAGTTTTCTCCTCAAGGAAACTGCTATGAAAATATGGTATTTGCTCAGTTTCTATTTGCTTTTTTCAGACCTCTATCAGACGCATTCAACCTCTGCCAATTTTCTCCAGGTACACTATAGATTAAAATATGTAGAGACTCTCTGAGATGGGTGGTCAGGTAACTCTGCAAGGCATTTGTCACAGTTCAATGCACAAAACAAGCAAGCTCTTGCATCCTGCCTGGGCTGGCGCAAACTCACACAGGAGACAACGGCAACTCACAGGCGCTGACAGAACTGAAAGTTGAATGTGGCTGGCAACATCTTGGTTACTGGATGTTGGCAGAACAACCCCTGCAGAAATGGTCTGAGCTGAGGTCTCTTGGGCTCCACACTGTCTGCTGTCCCTCAGCTTTGCCTCTGCCATGACAGGATGCCAGGGGCACAAAGACCAGACCTAGCCACCATGGCTATCAAACTTGGGCTGGTAACTTTCCTCCATGGCTTTCAGAGCTGTGGGTCTTGCTTTCCAAAGAGACCTCCTGCCATTTCAAACCAGAAATCTGATGGAAAACAAGTCTCTCCCACACTGTCCTCCTCCTATGAAGCCACAGCTGAACTGTTCACCAGACTCTTTGCATGGGGTACTGCTCCAGGGACACTGTGTTGAGGCTAGCAGTTCTGGCCAGTGCCTCAGAGTTTCCAGCTCAGACTGAAACAGATGGTAAAGCTATAAGTCACAGGCTGCCCTCAAAAGAATGAATCATTTGTCTTCTCATTCATCAAGACCCAGTGACTTCACCTCTTACCATAACCATAAAACATGCTGCTGGATACCGTTCCCTCAAGGAGCAAATGCAAGACTTGGGCTGCTAGCTAATATCAACCGCTCAGCTGTAACTGAAGTCATCAGTGCTTAACAAACCCACAAGGACATTAGTATTATCACAAATACTAAAGAGATGCAAAGTATGCATGGCTTAGTGACACAAACACTCCTGATGTCCAACCTCTGCTCTCACGCCCGCCTTATTTAACCTCCCAACTTGCATGGGACCCTGCCTCTCAAGGAAGCTCCATGCCAGCTGCATGTAGGTATATCATCTCTTCCAGGGAGGTTTCTCCTCTCTGCCCAGACAAAGGAGAAGACTTTAAATAGTCACACACTGCATGCAATTAACTGTCACCCAGCCCTTCAAAGTGGGCCTTGCAAACCAGATTAGGCTAAGGCAGAAGTTCTTAGCTGGGGATGCAGAAGGTGGAGAGTACTGCACAGACTGATGGTAGCAGGGGTCCAAATTCCCAAGTCTCTAAAAAATGTGATGTCATGTGCCAGAAGCATAACATCCTCTCTGCCCTTTCCCAGCCAGAACGGTGCCTCACCTTCACCAGGTACCGGTGAGCTGCAGCCTTGCACTCCCGTGATGGAGCTGGCTCGTCTGCTGCAAGCCCTGGCCTTCAGCCAGCAAGGGCAATGGTACTGGAGCACATTTCCAGGCAAATGCAGCCCCAAACGCACACGGCTCCTTCATGGACACACATCAGAAATCAAACTCTTACCTGTCAGCATCCAATCACCCTTCTCAAAAAGTGTATTTTCATTTTCTCTCTGAGTTACTTAAACTCTTTTACATTTTTGTGACCTAAATTCTGTCAGAAGTTGCAGAACTGAACTTTGGCTCATATTCAACAACTCCAAACTGTCAAGAACCTTGTATTTCCATTGAAGTGATGTGTCCTGTAATCTCTTCATGGACATCCCCAGACCTACAGAAATATCTGCAACATATGGAAGATTTTATCATGGCTAAGAGGCAAGAGAATATAAAACCTGCTTCTCTGTGCCTCCTGATGAGCCCACATTGTTCCAGAAGCAAGTTCATACATGCTGATAAGATGCACTTCACTGGAAAACAGTGATCCTGGGAAAGCAAAATCCTTTTTTTGTAGAAAAATGTCTTTTGATGCAACACTGCTGGGGAAGATTTCTTCAGTCTAGCCTGGAGTTTCTGGTCTGAAGAGGAGAAATGAGAAGGCTGAGCTTCTGCTTAATGCAAACTCTAGACTTGTACCTGAATTTCTCCTCACGCTGGCCTGTCTGAATATACCTATTCTCCCTCTTTCTCACTTCGTGTTTCTCCCTCTCCTTCTTCTTCCTACACCTCATCTTTACCTTCCTCAAACATTGGCTTTCTCCCATGTGAAAACCCAGCTGAAACCTCCACAAAGGAATCTCTCCTCCTCTATCTTCTGCTTATTTTCTACACGAAAATTAATTATGTTTCTTTCAGAGTTAATCTTCTGGGAATCAGAAAGTGCTTAGGCAGAGCCTGTGAAGTGTGAGCAGCGAAAGGAGACAGTAATACAAGGTGAGTAGAGAAATCACTTAATTAAAAAAAAAAGCTTGGGTGACAATTGAGAACTATTGGACCAAAACACTTTGGCTCACAGCAAAGCCAAACATGCCCCACAGCTGGAATACTGAGCAAAAGCACAGAGTGGATGAATTTACCCTGAATGAGTGAAAACAGAAACCCTCAGTATGTTTGCAGTTATAGAAATCAAATAAAGGACTTCACAATTGGAAAAAAAACCAAACAACAAAGTTATTGACAAATGTCTGCACTATTGCTGGGAAACACTAAGGTAAATTCACAGGTTTGTTTTATCCGACTGTGCAGAGAATAAAGAAAGAGAATAATTTTAAATTGCTTATTTAAAACATGATGGTATCATTAAAGAAAGTGTAAACATGTTACAGACTGGCTTTGATATACTGAGAGTCAGACAAAACAAGTGAAAGTGTTTATTGCAATTAGTGGCAGCTGGCTTCCTGCAAGTTAAATTACACTCAAGTCCATAAAGGCTTCCTCCAACTCCATGCTCTCCTAGAACTTATTAACGCAAGCACCAGCCCTTGGTGGAGCAGCCAGTCCACTCGGAAACGCAGCAAACCCAAGCTGTCAAAAAAGTTCTAGATGTCTGATAACCCAGAGTTTTGCTGAGGAGCAGGGATGCTATGAGGCTGAAACAAGCCCTGGAAAATCAAAAGCAGTGGGACTGAACTGAAGCTGGACTTCCCAGGCTTGGCTCATGTAACCCAAACCAAGTCACATCCTGGAGAAACATTTCAAGTGTAACAATCTGGAAGTTACTTTCTGTCCCTGGTTCTTGATTTCTGCTATTTTCTGGTTTGCACCCAAATATGACTCTGCACATCTCATGTTCTGTCTTGGTAGGTGACAAGACCAGTAGTTCTGCACAGCATCACCAAGAAGAACCCGAGCTAATCACTGTCTTAGTAACACTGGTGTTCAGTGGACCCCATCTGTACCTTGGCCTCTGATCTTTGCCTTCCCTGTCACATATACAGCACACCAAGGTGACGCACATTATATTTTATTAAAATACGTCTGCAAGTACATTAAACATCACTGAGGCCAGGCTAGCTAAATCCTTGTCTGCCCACGTGGCTTTCCACTCCTCCCTGATGCCGTCTCCCCTCCATATGGTACATGCATTACCACACACATTTCAGAAACATCTGCAGCATCACGTTATGTCCAGACTTGCAAAAGCACTAGGGAAACTGCTGCTGTAATAAGGGGAAAAAGAGCAAAGATAGCGACACCTTTGTTCTGAGGCTACAAGAACTAACAGTCTTGACTACAGAGAACCACTGAAAAGCAAGAAAAAAACCTCCAAATCTGAATAAAAGACAGAATCCAGCTCTCCAGAGACAGGTTTTCAAGACCCACACAGCACACGACCCCAGAAAGTACTGCGAGACAGCGCTGCAACGCTTTCAGGCTGCAACAACGATCTGGCAAATGCAGATGAGTGCCAATGCAAAGAAACCACAGCATTGCAGTTCCTTCAGTCCGTACCTGTAGGGCACTGTTTGATCCATTTTGCTGATTTGTGATGTACTAAAGCTCAAGAGCAAAAACATTCTTTGTCTTTTTTTCACCTGTATTTTTTTATTTAAATAATCCAAGCCTATGGAAAAGTTACTACGAGAGCAGAGAATCAGCTAAACAGCATTATGAGAATGAGCTGCTGGGCAAAAATACTATTTTTAATACATTTACAAGAAGTTTTGGATAACTGATTTAAGCTGAATACCTAGTGATAGTGTGGAAAGAAAAGATTTATTTATTTTTTTTAAATTCAAGGTTCATATCTCAACTACACACTTGATAATGGCCCTGTAAATCCCAACATCCATCATAAGCTTCTAAAAAATTCAGGGACAATGCCCCGAAGGGGAAAAAAAACCAAGCACATCCCATCTTTCTCATATAAAAAATGAAAATTAAACTAAGAACCATTTGAGCAGTCAAAATCCAGCTGTGAAAGCTACTGTCATTTCCTAGGACTCTATACAGACTCCAGCATATGTACATACCCTCAAAAAAATGATACAAAAGGACAGAGTGGTGAGAAAGAAATGACTCAAGGCCAAACATGCAGAAACACATAAGAGCTTTTCCAACCCTATCATTGAAAGAGCCGGCCCTGTCATTACGACGACAAAATCACCCTGAGGTTTTGAAGCAGCCTCTTGAGAAACATGGGTTTAGCTGCTGTTCTGCATGGCACTGTCCAGGGCAATTCATCTGTACCTGTTTAATAGCTTCCTGCATGCTCAATGGTTTTAAAACTCTTGCCTGACAAAAGCACTCTCTGACCAGCTTGGCTGCAAAAGCACACTCCACAGCACTGTCTGATTTGGTTACCTGCCCATCCTTGGCGTAGCAAACGGAATTGGACTGGGTGTATTTGACAGCGATGCTGGCAACAATCAGGTCTCGAACAGCAGACTCAGGCAGCTGAAACAAAACGCCACTGTCAATGGCCCATGCTAACAACCATGACTAGCCAACTGGCTAGTGACCTGCAAACCCCCAAAGCCATCACAAGTACTGTATCATAGAGACGGAACACAAGATAACCAAGATGTCCTGTTCTGTTCCATTACCAGCCAATTCTGTTTAGATTAAAAACTGTAAATAATTGGTTTGACAGCTAATCTCACAGCTCACAGGGGTAAGACTCAGTCTTTGCAGGTCAGGAGGGCTCTATCCCTGGCCCTAGGCCTGCAAAGTCTTCTGTATTTGCTCATTGTCATCAGATGTGCTCATAGGCAAAACGCTAAGCACATGCTTAAGTATACACCGGACCACAACAATAATAATTGCTGACAATATCTGCATGAGGTTTTATTTTTAAGTCCATTCCATTACTAACTTATTAAAATCATTTTATTACCTCAATGTCTGAAATTGCTTCTGAGCCCATGACTAATCACGTTCTCATTACCATCTGTTTTTTAATAACAAGATCAGAGACAAGTAACTGATAACTTTCTGATGATGTGAACCCTAAATGATGAGCAATATCAGCAAGGCCACAGTTTATACAACACGTTGTACACAAAAGGGAGAAGTAAACGGTGAGTCAGATCACAATGGCTCCTTAGCACATGGCTGTCTCACCATAAAAAATTGCACACAGTAGCTTTTTATTTATAAGAAATACAAATATTTTGGTAGTCAGAGAGAAAGGGCAAGGCCCAGCTCCTCTTATTTACGCAAGAAATCAAAACAAATACAAACTACACCGATTTACCCAAGTATATTTGGTCTAGAAAGTTTGCTGCATCATTTTGTTGAAAGCCAGTTAGACCTCATTAAAATATTTTAAGAGCTCTTAAAATAGAAGAGTGATGACTTCCTTGATGAAAGCACACCAGTTCATCCCACCAATCTTTAAGCTCATTTATCTTCTGACACTTACATTTTTATTCTTTGTAACGATGTTCTTGAACAATGACCGGTCGATGACTGCGTTATTCCTCTTCTGCATGAGATGCAATCCATAGAGGGTTCGAATCTCGTTGTCATCTGGCTCATAATGAGGATCCATCTAAAAGCCAAAGGATAGACCAATAAAACGTTCTTAGAGCTCTTCAAGACCAACATTCAGTAATAACTGAGGTTAAAACACATTATCTGAAAATCCAAAAGTGAACTGTTTGTAGGAAGCAACATCAAATCGTCAGAAGTAATCAGAATTAACTGGAGCAGCAAGGTTGAAGCATGAACTGACATTTACAGGGTGAAGTGAGGTAATGCAGTATAGATGCCTATATACAACTCCATGTTGTGAGCCACAATAAGTGACAAAGTCATCCAGTCCTTCACAGAAAGGGGAAAACATCCACACAAAACCAGTTTTCAGTCTTCTACAGGAAAGTAGAAATATTTTGAGTTGCTTCATATGTGCCTCAAGGTACAACTCACAACCCCCTCTGACATTAAACAGTAAATGCAATTATTTCCAGAGATGTACTCTCCTGGGGCACATCTCCAAACAAGCATGTAGCACAGTTAATTTACACCAGCGTACGTTAAATGGAACTGTTAAACTGCATTCAGGTCTACCCATGCATGGGCTTATTTAGAAATTCTGTAGCCCCAGTTCAGGTTATTGAGACATGAAGTAAACCGGATTAAGGCGATCAGCTCTAAGTAAGAGCATGCACACACTTTATGCGGTATCCCTAATCCATTTAAATTTGTTCAGATCAACTTTCCTTAGCATCCCCCTGCAGAAGGCCCTGAAGATACAGGCTTAACCAATGCAACCTCATCCTTGCAGAGCTAATTGAATTCAGGAGGTAATCAGCTGCCAAGATTGTCTGCAGTTTCATTCCTTCTTGCCTGAAGCTCCTAAGCCATCTTCTACAGCTCCCCTGGTAGTAACATTACAACTGCAACTTCAGCTAAGCCTTGGATTTTCTTTTTGATATGTTACAATAAAGTCCTCTGCTCGTTTGTCTCTCAGTCAGGCAGAAATAGGACCTGTTTGAGTGCTCTGACACCATTCTGTAATCCATTAATCCTGTTTATCAAAACTGGATGATTTTGAAGTCCCAACTATCACTGCAGGAACTAGAAGGGAACCTGACACTGCCTTGACCACACTATGTTAACATTCCCTGGCAAGCATCCTGGTTGCAGTAAGTAAATGTGCATCATCTCAGGTCCAAACTCCGTCCATGCTGTCTTCATCCCTGACTGTACCAAAAACTGCCCTACAAGTACCACAGGCCCAGACAAGGCTTCCCCCAGCACATGCTTCTCGCTGCCAAGACTCACAACATCACTATGCACTATATCCTAGATATAAAGACTTCAGGGAGAAAACAAATTCTGCAAAAGTGAGAGGAAAGGTGGCAAAGAATGGAAAGAGAGCACAATAATTGTTTTTTTGAAATACTCTTGCTGGTTCATAGATCCAGTTACTTTAAATCCACATCACTTTGAAAGCCAAGGAAGGCTTGCAGAAAATACTCTGCTCTAGGACTAAAGGCTTAACATGACCACAACGCTGCTGGTGGAATTCCAGCTCGTGCAGGAATCCCTCAAGACCCAGAGGAAACACTTCCATGCACTGCAGGGGAGCCTGGCTCAGCTCCCCCAGCTATTTGGACACTAATGTCTGCGAAAAGCAGTGGAGGGTTATAGTGGAGCAAGAATACAAACCTGGAGGACACAATAACCACCATTCTTCTTTTTGGCAAGGATTTTGAGAGCTTCTTCCTCATACCCAGGAGCTACCACACCATCAGATACCTGCAACACACACAGAATTCAGCTTCTACATGAAAAAAAATTTAAAAAGGAGCTATTACTGAAAGCTCCACCTGTTATTTCCAGAAAGGCACTGAAGGCACACCTCTTGAGGTCTGTCTGTATCCTGACCACATGTATCTCATGTTCTCAAAACAGCAGAGCACTGTCAGCTCTTAGCAGGAGTTAGGAAAAAATACCCTGCCAAAATGGAATTAATAACTAATATCCCCCCTCCAGGAGAGGACAGCGCATGCTTGACTTCTCTACTTTTCTCAGCCCTAACAGTAAACATAGCTTAAAAATAATAAATCCTTATTTCAACAGCCATACTCCTGATGAGACAAAAATATCTGCAGAAGAGCTGTTATCAGAATTAAAACTGAGAAGAGTTTACATTCGGTGCCATGCAGTGATATACACCTTTCACACTTTTATCCTACCATGTGAGAGGGTTATTGGGTTGGTTTGTTTTGTTTCATTTGGTTTTTTGTTTGGTTCTTTTTGTTGTTTGGTTGTTTTTGTTTTAAAAAGTAATTGCATACCAAAATGTTACCCTCACAAACCAAACAAGCTCTTTCATTTGTTTGAAAAGACGACTCCAATGTACAACACAGCTGTTTGCATCATGCCTCACCTCTCTCAAATCGGAAGCAACATGCAACAGGATGATGAGTGTGTCTGGTAAAGCATTAACTCCCAGCTGGTTAACTCTGTATTTTAAAAAGTGACTTGTACAGTGCAGCCAGCTATGGAGTTAACAGTGAATCCAGACAGGTTAAAAGCGCAGCCTGGAGGATGGCTGGGACTACACATAACTTGTATCAACCGGCAGGCAGCTACAACATCCACGATCCTGCCTTGGGCAAGAGGCTGGCCATCAGCTCCCCGTCCTCTACTGCTCTGATTACAGCTGTTCAGGCAGATACTTGTGACAGGCAGTGTAATCAGGGCTCATTTCCAGAGGCCCACCTGGAGGTAGAGGTTTGCAATCATCTCTTGGAGAGCAGCATTTCAAGCACTGCTATTTCAAAGGCTCTCCCACACAGCCAGCTTTTAACTGGTAGGACGAAAAATGCATCAAAAGATAGCTGTAAATTCTGCACTCCAGGCATCACATTACACAAATGGACCAATAAATAGTCTTCAGTGAAATGGGTCAAACACAAAGAGAATGGCTGCTACAAACCAGTGACTCCATCTAGTGTGATTCTCCTTTTTACACTCGAATGATTTGCTGCTGTTTAACTGACCTCTCTGGAAATAATCTTGGCAGTAGCCACATCACAGATATCAGACAGGGCAATGAAGTCACCAAAAGAAGACATCCGATCAGCACCTGCAAAATCATATTTTTAGTAACTATAACATAATACAAATAAAAGTCTTTGCTCCTACAATCCAGTCAATTTTCATGAGAGCTAATAACTTAATCCCACCAAAAAGGGGCATGTAAGAGCAACAAGGATGAAAAACCTACCTCAAACACATGCACCTTTAAATATTCCTATAGTTCAGTCCCTCTTCACTGCATTTGTCAAAGCTCTAACTCTGTAATGACTACCCCGATTACAGCAAGCAGTTCTGCTGTAGCCATGGTGGCAAGAGGACAAGGAGATGCAAGGATTGTACAGAAAGCTTTTAGATATAAGACAGTTGGAAAAAGAGGAAAGCTTTTAGATGCCTATGCTCTCATCTGGCTCTTCCTGCAAGAAATCACACCCAGATATGTAGCCGAGAGCAATTTTTTTTTTCTTAAATAAATATTTTCTGAGATTAATTCTAAGCACCTGAGCAGTGTGCCTAGCTTCTTGGACATGCTAGTTTATTCCTGGGCTTCTCACCTCTGCTTCGCGCGTAGGCAGACGCTAAGGGCGTTAAGGTCTTGTGGAAGTCGTGCACCATGCAGACTTGCGCCTCCTCTTCGCTGAGAGGTACTCCAACAGCAGCACCTAGTGGGAAATACAGGCCAGGGCACTCAAACCAGAGCCTTTCACTGCTCCCTGTCCCTGGGATCTCCCCAGACTTCCAGGGCAAGGGATGCAGATACACCACTGGCAGCGCCTGCCAAAAGTCGGAGTTCAACGAAAAAAGCATGGCAACAAGGAG